TTCCAGTGCAGCAAAATTTATAGTTTTATCTGCAAATCTACCAAATCATTTGTTAATGCAGAATATTTACCAAAAGTACTTTTCTGATAATAAAAGTTTAAGAAAGAATTTTAAAAGTAAAGTTAAGCCCCTGTTTTTCAATCTCAAGGCAGTTTCTACTCCTTCAGTTTACAAAACCTACTGATTTGTCTTTTCAGAACTCTTTTTGATAACAAAAAACTAAATACCCTCAGAATATGACTTAGTAAGAGTAAGGTCAGTAGGTAATTCAACATCCCTACACCTAAAAGAGTGCCTAGATGTAAACTTAAAGTCTCTCTATTTTACTCTATGCAAATTATTCATCAATGAAAAATAATTCCATAAAATAGTGCCTGGCATAATAAATATTAAATAAATTGGGTGACTGAATCTAGTTATCAGGGTCATCTCTAAGATAGATATGCCTAACTAGGGATATTGTGTTTGTCAATTTCAACTCTAGTATGTAAACCTAGTTCTTCCTGAATACTTAATAAATTTTGTGATTATGATAGAACAATATCCTAAGGATACTAACCATGAATAACCATTCAAATTGTATAAAACTAAAAAAAGTGGCCTATCACATTGGTAGGGTCGAAATGTAGAATTCAGGTTGATTTTAATAAATAAAGAAGTTGGGGTAAAAAGCAGTCCTACATTTTTAAAAAATATTTATTTAAAAATAAGATTTCTAAAAATACAGTACATAATACATTTCAAGAGAAATAAAAATTCCACAATTTAAATTAAGAACAATATGCAAAGAAAATAGAAATATTACATGAATAAAACTAAATCACTAAAATAAATTAAAAACAAGATTATTCTTAAGGTAGATACATGATTTGTTTCATTTTAAGAACCAGTGTATGCTTTTCATTTAAATAAGCATATAACAGATACATGGTTTCCATCTGTCATTTTTACCCACTTTCCTCCCTCTTCTCAACCTGTTCTTTTATCTCTCATCTGCTACTTTCCTTCTTATTGATTAGCACTAGAAATGTTAGTGAAGATTTTTTAAAAATTCTCTTACGGGAACAGACAAGGTAAAATAGACAATACAGGAGAACAGCATTCAGATTTACACATATTATGCACTGAATTTTTAAAAAAATGCCCGACAATTTTAAAAACAGGATCTTCATACGGCACTTGAAACACACCACTATTAAAATAAAAGTCTTTTATTTTAGAGATATAATGCTAGAGAAAACTGGGGGTTGGCTCAAAATTTTAGGAGCCTCAAAATAACACAGGTTTTGCCTATGCATTAAACTTGCCAGATTATAAAAAAAGACGAACTTCAGAGACATAAAAGCACGGGCATATAGCATGATGCACGTGTGCTCTTTCCTCCCAAGAGCTTACCTTTGTCACCCCCATGTTAGACGGGTAACTCACTTGTCTGAGTATCTAACTGTAGTGGAAATTTTTCCTATTGTATCATTTAGTTGCTTTATTCTATCTATGCTAAAGTAGAATCCTTTTTCTTTTTAATATTCACCCCAGGGAGACAGCAGATAGTGGTAAATTCTCCACCACCCAATAAATTGAAAAATAACTGCATTCAGTCATGTTAATTAAATCACGCATAAACAAGCCAAATTACTCAAATACAGTGGCAACAAAATCTAGGAAATACTGTTGGGAGATTAGAGAGAGATATGATGTTGCTTCATCTCATTATGCTTTCAAACAAATTTTGCTTTCACCTCTAAGGATATGTGTTCATCTGGATTTCTACATATCATTCAAATGACCTGAAGTCACGTTTCACATAAGTTTCAGACTTGATTCTTTTTTTCCATTCAGAATTCACTGCAAAACCATATACTGTATCTACATTGAAGGAGATATTGATTTTAGCTGATTGAAAATAACGCAAAACATTTTCAAGTGTGATTGTCTACTTTTCCAATACATACACACTGTTGCCTTCTGGCCAGAATAACTATTTCAGCTGCAGTTTTAAGAACACTAAATGAGTGTTTTGTGAGTTTAGGGAGAAAAACAGGGAACCAGAATAGAATATATAGCAGTATTATAAGTATTACAAATACATTTAAAGGGTATTTTCCTCCATTTCTGTAAAATGAATCACTAAGCAAACATAGTTTTTACAATAATCTTACTGTGACTTTTCACATAAAGTGAGTAACAATATTGACTTTTTTTTTTTTTTAAAGATTTGCATTTCCTCTTGGGAAAGTGTGTGTGTGTGTGTGTGTGTGTGTGTGTGTGTGTGTGTGAGAGAGAGAGAGAGAGAGAGAGAGAGAGAGAAGGGGAGGGGGAAGAGACAGAGAGAGAATACTTCAAAAGTGTTCTTTAATTTTATGTTTATTTGCAAAATAGAAAAATAGCAATAACATTCTTTAAAGCCACTAAGAAGTACACACATACACACAGAGGTGATGAGTTCTTGATCTGTAATCAGAATGGACCCTTAACTCTTCATTTTGGTATTTTGTTTCAGTATTCATTAAAAGTGCCCAATAAGATATATAGTTTATTTATAGAAATAAAAGTATAATTTCTACTTATTTTTCTTCATTGTTGCAGAAATAAAAAACCAAAAATTCTTGTGATAAATGCTTCAATTATCTTCTGTAACTTCAGCCTATTAAACTTTTTAATGTAGCCAAACTATTTTAAAATATAAAATTAAAATCCATACTATCCTGCCTAACTAAAAAAAAAAAAAAAAGGTCCAAATAAGAGACATTTAAAACTGATTAAATCAAGGCAACAGTGTGCAAAAACTAAGACCTGTTAATCAAATTGTTTTTAATAACATTAAATTCTACTTTATAAACATAAAGGTGTCAGAAAAAAAACTCTTAGTCAACCAAAAAGAAAATTAACTCTTTGGTACAGGAATTAAAAATGTCACTCAATGCTAAAGTGAATAGCACCAAGATGTTTTTCTTGTTGAGGTTGTAGAACACTAACTTCAGGCACCAGTAGGTTAAAATATCACCCAATGCATACTGACAAGAATATAGAGCTTGCAATATGCAGAAAAGTTTCCCTTTTAGTTAACAGCTACAAACAATTAAACCCTGTATTTAGTTAAACAGGCAAGTAAAGCCACAAAAAGAAACACACCTTTTGTTGCTGCTGTTTTATCCGCATCTTTGCCTACTTATGAAGCTACCAACACCAGAAAGATCAAAGTGTTGAACAACTGTAGTAAGCACTACATTACGTCTCACAGGTATTCAAAATACCAATAGAAATGAAGACCTTTAAGGTATCAGGAACCCCAAAATATCCCAAATGTTAAAGTGAAAACCACTGTTTAGGTACAAACTGTTGCTTTCTCCTCAGTGACAAAATTTTCTATAACACTTAATATCCTTTTTTTGCAGTAAGAGACTTGTAGAAAAGGTCACAGTTCTTTCAAACTCTGGGCAACCTATTCATTTCTCCTCTGCATTAAATAGCTGCATTTGTTCACATTATTCTTAACATTTCATGTTAACATATACTACACAATTATAGCATTTAAAATTTAAAATAATTTCTCAAAAGCCTCTGACCAGCTGAAGAGAAACAACAATATAAATCCTTACATCAAATAACTCAAACTAAATGTTTACATGCATTAACGACTCCTACAGAAGATGGCATTGACAAGAGATAAGTCTAAAATGATTAGAGTAAGGGATTTTCTGATGTCACAGAAACTCTACTGAGTCAGCGCTGCTGCTGAGATGCTCATTATTCATGCTCCATTTAGCCTTCCCTCCGCCTTAGCAAGTTCCCCCACTCTCCTTATCCAATTTTTTGGCTACTCACTACTCATTTGTACCTGTCCTCTATGGCTGAGACAGGGAAAAGGACATAATAATAGTAAAAATATGATAATGGAAAATATCAGTAATACCAATGACTTAGGTTTAAATACCATTATTATTTGTTTCAAATTAGTACTAGCAGGCAGTATTGTAAATCTGAAGAACAGACAAAAACGTAGTGAATTTTGTTGTTAAAAATTGCACAATGATAATGAAAGAAGTGAGAGAAAAGTTACTTCCCTAAATTAAGCCATCATCACCCCAAAAGTAGCAGAAATGCTAAATATTGATTGATATATACAATAACAACATTGGTTCAAAATATTTCAAGCAAGTTGGCTCGAACACTTTCTCATATTCTACTGTAGAATTCAGAAGAGAACAGCTAAACATGGAGTGTAATGAAATTTGTGATTTATAGATAAATCTAGAGGATGATTCCTAGAACTGAAGGCAACAAATGTAAGCATTAAATAATATACTCACTCATTACTTAATTATATGGTTAATAATACTAGCATGTAGACAAAGTAAATGTACATGACTTATTAACTACACGTGTAATAATGTATATCAGAGGTCATGTCAAAAACTTACGTAATGAAGTAACTACAGTTTAGTTAACTTGAGCTAGTTAATCTATTGACACATAAAGTACAAGAGAAGTAGTGAGAGATTAAAGTCCAGAGAGAGACCACCAGTTCTATTAAAAAATATTAATGCCATATTAAGCCAAAGCTGGATACATTGTGATTTTACAGCAATACATGTGAGAACACTCAAACTGCCCCATGATCTGTGTGGCCATATTCTAAATCAGTGCACACTTCCTGGTTGGAAGTCTTCTCCTAACTTAAGTCTTCATGATTAGCATTCAGAATCAATATGCCCTTTTAAGTGAAACATATTTCCAACTAGTTATCTGTATGGAAGTAACTTGAAAGTCTTATGATTAAGAATAATTATGATTAGCCATCATCCTTAGAGAAAAATATCTCTATGAATTAGCAAAAAAAAATGTGTTGATGTTAATTCTGACAGAAGTTCTAACTCAGTTGTTATACTGAACTTTACGTACGTTTATGTTCTCTCCTTCATTACTATTAAAAGTACACTATGCTTTCTTCTGAAAAAGGTTAATGTGATAACTACCATTTTACATAACTATCTCTTATGTTAACCACAGCTATTTTTTAATGCAACACTTAAGCAAAATAGTATTTTTATTATAATGTAACATCAGCTGACAATATTTTTAAACTATAAGTCCGGATTACAAAGTACCAACAGCTCTTTAACTGAATGCCTATTATTTGAGAAATTCTGAATCCAGTCCATTTTTGCCTACAATCTTGAGCCTACATTGAGCCCATAAACATTTTTCTTTGCAGAAAACAACAACAAATATGATTGTTCAGGAAGCGTAACTTACAGTATCTAGGTAAAAGTCTTTCATATCCAGAAGCCCAATAAATGACTTTACTTATGTAATAACATCCTTTAACGTACATTTTGCTTAAAGTTAAATGGAATGTTTATAAAATATTTCAGTCCAACGTATAGATTACATCAATAATCTCACTGCTCATAATTATTTTTTGATCCTCAACACCTTTAGTTATTTTCATGGTTATCCAGAATACATAATGAATTGATTACAGATATAACTAACTGGAAAATTTTAAAAAAGAACTAAGAAGAGAAAAGTATATAAAAAATTGTTAATCTCTTATTAGTTATCTTAAGACAGTAGAGCCAGTAAAAAAAATTATTCCAAAACTGAGATTAAAAAAAGCTAAACATATTTCTTAGATATTCATTAAAACACACTAGATACTTGATTGACACTATAACTATAATAAATTTCTGTGTTTTGTAATAAATGGTAATTTTAGAGCAACAGCTTTTCTAATTCTAAAGAATTAATTTGCCAAAATAAAGTTTAAAATAAAATACATGAAATGGCTTAAATTAGTTTATCCTAATCTGATATAAATTTGTGATTGATAGTAAAAAATATAATATACATGAAGCAAAGTAGTCATCACATTCTTATGAACTAGAAATAACACCATAAAACAGTAACATGCTCGTTTTCATGAAATTTTACAGTTTTGTACATATCCTCCTCCTAAGTTTGTACCTCTGACATGTTCAGAATTTGGCTATACAATTTACTTAAGGGGTAGTAAATCTCTAGAGCCAGTATAATTACATCAATTAGCCAAAAGAGGGCGCAGAAAGAACACCAGAGTTTATGCAATCCCTAGAAAACTGCCAGTTGGTTTCTCTCTAGTAGTCCTAACAAGAATCACAAAACCTACAGTAGGGTTAGGTATGCTAACCTGGGAATACTGAAAGTTACAGCCTAAGTATATATACATGTACTTTAATATAGATTCTTATTATATTGATATGTAGCATTTCTGCCATTCAAACAAAATAAGCATATACTCGTCCAGTGCATTAGTTTGTAGTCCAGTAACTCAGAGGAATCAGGTACAGAGGGATCAGGGAGGGGAAAGAGAAAGAAGGGAAGAGAATGTGCCCTAAGAGTGGTAAATGTAAGAAAAACAAAAACACAAATCCTCAGAGTGGGAAAGAGATCTCCCCAGTACCTTTCAGTAGCTACTGCTACTACATGAAGTATAAATAAGTCCATAAAGTTCTTTACGGGTCTTCACCTGGCTCTGCTGTTTTCTCAAGGTCCTTATTTGAAAGGAACATATACAACATAAGGCATTCAACTGGTATCTACTTACATCATCTATACATTACTTCCTTGTAACAGTTCTGTCACCAAGCCAAATTTGGTGAATTAGCTTGCACAAAATCCAACCCATTTGCCTGACATGAACATACTAATTTTGTGTTTCATTAAGCTTTATAAATATATTTCTTATATTAAATTTACTACGCATCTTAGCACCGATAAATACTTTTCATCTGCCACTTCTAATTTTTTAAGTAATAAAGCATTATAATTAGAACATGAAAGACATGGTAATTAATATCTGAGAATAGCTTATTCTATTATTTCAGAATATTTTATAAGATATTTACAACTTCTGAAAGAATAATCACAGTATAGGTAATTGGCTGACAATGGTAACCTTCTGTTTTATTATTTCCCAGGTATGATTCCTCACTTTCAAAATGAACTAAAAGAAAAATATTAACATGGTCCAAGAACAGTAGACTCTTCCAATATTCTCTTCAAGGGAAAGACTGTGAGTACATAAATTCTTTAAAAAGATATATGTATTTTGCAGCATTCTAATGGAAAAAATTAAAAGCTGAATTTTTTTCAAAGCATATTAAATGTCTTTTCACACAAGTGTTCTATGCTTTCCAAAAGACCAGAACTACTAACAATTTAAATTTGTATAAGACTAATGATAAATATAGATCATTATATTTTCTTATTTTAAAGTCATTTCCTAACATTAGCTACTAATACAAGGTCTCAATGCAAATTATAGCTGGCCGAATTAAAGTTTAATTTCAACTTGGGTGATTATTGGTACACAAAAGTTAGTGACTTACTAGTAACTTCCTATAAATAAAATTTCAATATAGGTTTGCCAATATCTGTTATATATAAACCTTCAATGTGTAATTTTAGATCTACTAGTGGATAAATAAAAGTAAAAAGCATATTTTTTTCAAAAGCACAATATTCCTCTTTATGTACATTATATATTATCTAGTTACATTAGCATTTAAAAAACACACATTCTAATATAACTGCACTAGAAAAGGTAACTGTGGTAACAATAAGGACCGTTTCTTCTAGTTGAAGGAATTATTGCAAATCTCTACCCTTTTTGCTCTTTAAAATCTTAGGGTAGCTAGGAATACATGCCCACCGGTCACAAATTTCTCCTGGGAGCAGATATTCTAATAACAATCAACAATTACAATGGTAAAGGGAAAAGAAATGGGAAAGTTAATGTGGAAAAAAAATTAATCTTTCTTTTATAATAAGGTAGGTAGTTTGTGTTTTACTTTAGTGGTATTTTTATTTTGGTTTTGGAGAAGAGAAAGGAAGAAAACATTAGAAGATTAATCCTAAGAAAACACTGCCCTTTTTTCATTCTTCACTCCTATGCTGCATTTAAAAAAATCTTGCAGTACATATAAAAGGAAGAATTAAATATTTTAAATTGTATTTGAAAAAGAAAATTTACATATACTATAAGGTTTATCAACTTCTGTAAAACCTGAAGAATTAAATTCAGATTTGGTTAGTACTTCCTAAAAGTAAAAATTTTAATAAACATCTGAAATTTCCCATAAATTAAAATATGTAACACTGTCAGTACTAAAAGAAATTATGTACGATTATTTCATCCCAATCACTGCCTTTTGAGCTTAATAACAAAAGCATTTAAAGAAATCCCTGTGGAAACCTAATTTGAAAGTAAACATGCTTTAAAACTTAAATATAGATCTTGTATTAGTCCCACAACAGGATCAAGAACACTATTAAAATAAAGCCTGGGGCACATTATGATGCCTAAGATTGGTGGGTGGATTTTAATTGACTTGAAGACTGTCATAGTTCTATTATCATAAAACCTGTAACGCATTTCCAGCATGGAGGACCCATCTGTGCCCACCATCCATCTGTTTAGACATGATTGGCAAAGTGGTAGGGAACTCGCAGTGGTTGCCTCTGCCTGAAAGGAATAAACCACAGGATCTTCCAACGAGTGCCAAAAACTTCTGAGAAGGTCTGCTGCCATGGCTTTCGGGGCCTCGATCTACAGAAGACAGCATTATTAGTGAAAGACAGCACTCCCATGGTGCACTTCAGTCAGCTAAAACAATACAGATTGGCTGGGGATCCATTACTGGACTCTGATGAATTGTGTCCCAGCATCACAAATACAGCTTTTCTTTCATTATGGCATGCAGCTGAGTTTTAATTCTCGATAGCAGATATTGTATCTGTGTCGTCAATCAACCTAAGGCAACTTTTGAAGCAAAGAGAATCTCAGGATTAACAGAATGTCTGTCAACAACACAGTAGCAAATCTCTTTTGATGTACTTTGAGGAGAAATAATTTAACTTACTTTAGTTAGACAAGGAACAAGAATGATCAGTATTTACTTTGTTTGAAACTATCATGGCTGGAAGACCCCTACTGTAAGATTAGGGTATGGTTGTCTAGCTCAGGTCTTAGAAAAGGCACCAAGAAAAAGCCATCATTATATTATCTTTTTTCTATATGCACACATGCCTCAAATGTGACCAGTTGTTTCAATTTTTAAATAAGAATACTATACACTCCACTTTTATACTTACATTTCTTCACAACAGTTTGACATCTTTTCAATAGATGTTGTATCCTATTAAAAATAAAAAAAATTATATTCAGAAGTAACAAAGTTATCGAGTCTTTATTCTATAACTACTTAATAACGTTTTTAATCCTATTAAGAGAATATTTTGGAAATTTAAACAGTTTATACATGGGTACTAAGAATTTTAAATTATCTACATAAATAGCTAAAATTCCCTTGGAAAAACAGAATCAACTCTACATTATGCCAAAAAAAAATTATACAAAACCTCACAAAAATTGTGGGAGTACCACTTCATTAAAATATAAACTTTTATTACATGTGCTTTCTTGATAATTCTTTTAAAAATCTGGAATATATTTTCAATTAAACTGTCAGTGAATATGCATTACAAAATAAATAGTAAAAGGACACATGAAAAATACTAATGAACAGAAAACTGCCAAGAGTGTTTCTGGTTCTGGATTTCTGTAGCTAACAACAAAATTCAACAATTTATTGAGTTTTATGAATTTGCCATATTACAATATCTATTGCTCTGAAAACTAAAGTTAACTGATTAGTGTTCTTTGGTAGAAGCTATTTCCTTTTTTAACATAAAAATTACTCTTTTTATAATAATATAATTTCTTATTGTGTGTTTTCTATAAATCTCTAACACAAATATCTAAGAAAAACAATTCAACCAACAAAAGCAGCTTCCAGAAATGCTGGTTTAATTTGGATTAACAGAAGATCTATACTTAGATTAATAAGTTGTTATGATAAGTAATATCCAAATAATCAAGACACAAATTACACAATCTTACTTTTAAGGTATATATACTTTAAATATGCTTTAAAGCACTACAAAAGAATATAGTCCTTCAAATATATAAAAAAGTTTGAGAAGTTTTCCTCTTCTTATCTCTTTACCTTAATACCTCACTCACATATGAAGATGGACTGTACTATTATTAAGCAGTACTATTCATGCAAATACTTGTGGCTGTAACTCAAATCCCAAGAACTTTTATGGTTGTAGAATTTTTTTTTCCAATGAGGCTAATGAACAGCATCTTTACTTTAACAAATTCTTTACATGAATTCTTTATATGAATAAATAGCTCATAATATTAAGTTCTCATATATGAATAGTTGAATAATTATAGTTAGCCTGTAAAAGGGAAAGTTAATCTATTTTTAAGATGACTAGTAACCAATAACAGAGCTTCATTTATAGACTCTTCCAGAATGTGTAAAAAATTACAGATTAGCTACATATTCTATATACATTAGTTTTCCTATCATGCTTTGGAATTCACATTGTACAATGACAATTCTAGTTATAATCAACCTTTCTCAGCTTAGTCGCATAATTTCCTAAAAACAATATTTTACTTTACAAAAACACAGTCTGCAAATACATGAGAACATTGATAAAGGACTTAGAGGAAACCTGGGCCTCAGATTCTACATCTGTAAAGGAAGTGAATAAAGTTATTTTAATGGTTTCTTAGAGTCTGATGGTGACAGGTCGTTCCAGAGTAATTAACACAGTTTGTGCAAAAAATACAAAGGAAAAGATGGGACAGAAGTCAAGGAGTGCTGTTACGAAAGGCGTATGAATGGCCTAAAATCACAGTTATGGGTAACACTTCAAAACTGGAAACTATCTCAGGATAAGAAAGTCAACTGCCAGATCAGACTACTAATCTGATGTAATTTAATTTACTAGAAATTTACCACTATAGCCTTGAAGAATTTGTGGCATTAAAATAATCAAGTTTCAAGACTTCAGACTTAGATTTAATATAGAAAAAGTTTCTTATTTTCAAATGTTTTTGACACCTTTCTAGAATCTGTTTCAGGACATAACTAGAAAACTACCTATTAAATCATCAGAAGCAGATGATTATTCTTTCAAAAAATGTTATGTTTACCATCACTTTATGAACAGGATTTATGAGGCTGGCCAAAACAGGCTACTATTTTTCTCCAGAAATGGCAAATGCTCATCTCTGTGAAACTCAGCTATCTAGAACAGTTATAAGAAAAGAGTACAACTTGTATTTGAGTAGCTTAACATGTCATCAAGTTTTTGCACTGGCACTATACAACATACTCAAAGCAACACAAGTTTTCACACTATCACATTCACAAGCAGGATAGAAACAGCAAACCAGAAGAGGAGAAAGGTTCCTACTGCCAGGAATACTGAAAACCACAAGTTACTCAAGTGCTAAAATTAGGTTTAGTACACTTTGTTTTTTTATAAAGCAGAGAAATATGCGATTTTAAAAAAATACACTAGGGGCCGGCCCGGTGGCGCACTGCTACAGTGCGCCGCTTGGGAGTGCGGCGGCGCTCCCGCCAAGGGTTCGGATCCCACATACAGACCAGCCGCTCACTGGCTGAGAGAGGTGCGGGCGCAACACTGAGGGTTGCGATCCCGTTGCCGGTCCCGGTCTGGTCCGGGTGCGACACTGAGGGTTGCGATCCGTTGCCAGTCACGAAAAAAGACAAAAAGGAAAAAAAAATACACTAAAAGTAATAAGAATAATTGGTACAGATAATTTCATTCAACATAAAAGACTCAAAACCTTTAGTGCCCATCATGAAAGTACCAATAAGATAACTGCTATCTTCAAGGAGTATAAATACAATTCATAAATCCCTAGGTATATGTAAAACCTAGCTATCCAGAAAAGTTAATTCCTCCAGGAATAGTAAACAAGTTTTTGCTGTGTGTTGCCTACAATTAGGATATCTTATTTCTAGACTAATATTTATGTCTTAATTATAGTATAGTAATCAAAACATATAAGACTTTCATCAGTCTGTGTAACTAAGATATATATGAGAAAACTGGAAATTTTGTGTGTGTGTGTGTTTTTTTTTTTTTAAAGAATAAACTAGAGGGCCGGCCCGGTGGCGCACTGGATAGTGCGCCACTTGGGAAGCGCGGCGGCACTCCCGCCCGAGGGTTCGGATCCCACATGCAGACCGGTTCCTGCTCACTGGCTGAGCGAGGCGCGGGAGCAACACCGAGGGTTGCAATCCCGTTGCCGGTCCCCGGTCCGGTACGGGGGCAACACTGAGGGTTGTGATCCGTTGCCGGACACGGAAAAAGGAAAAAAAAAAAAAAAAAAAAAGAATAAACTAGAAACAACAAGACTTACAGAAATACAGGTCTCACCTATTTTATGAACCAATACTTTATCTTCTCCTGATGGCTGATCTTACCCTAATAAATGATCTTTCGGGTTCAGTCTAAAAAAATATGTTTTATTATAAAAGATAACTGTATCTTAACTAATAAGATTATACCTGGAAGGGGTGGTGGAGTTCCTAGCAGAAAGGGAAAGAGAGGTATTTATTGGCTGGATGTTAGAAAAACTGGAGGAGGCAGGGATAATGAACAAGAATTTATCACCAGAGGTTTCCTGGTTAACAGACCTGAGAACCCAGTCCTCTTGGTATAGATAGCTTGATGATATAACCCATCCAACTAACTCATCCTGCTTTGGGTTCATTCTCACCAAGCAACACTTTGCCACATATATTGTACAGGAGAAAGAATGTGCTGAAGAGTCATTTGCCACACCTGACAATCATACATAAAGAAATAAACAACCCGATTTATATGACTATCTCTTCTAAGTCTGGAAGTAGGAGACAATGCCTCTGGGCATGATTAACTCTGGAAACAGTTTCAAAATCTAGACCTGCCAAACTGAAGACTTGATGAAAACAAGAATACTCTATCAGTCAGCCTCCTCGAAGACAGTCCAACCTAACTTCAATGATTGCCTGCACTCTTTATTCTTATTGTAGATGTTGCTGATGCTTCTGACTCTGCTGCATGTAGCTACCTAATTCAGTGACTCTATGTTGACTTAATCTAGAGTTTAAAACAGTATTCAGAAAAATTCTTCACAATTAGAAATTATATACCTGTATTATCTATTACTAATTTCTATTAATTCTAAGAAAGATTTTTGCTTGACTTCTTAGCATCTCTGATCAGAACACAAACAGCATCTCATTTAACTTTGAATTTAAATTTTTCTATAGCAGATACCAGCATACATTGTACAAAATGGCTAACTTAAAATATATTTGCAACACTAAACTAACTGAACATGGACAGAAACAGCATGATTTCTTATTTTTAATTATTCTTTTTTTGTGTGATCAAAAGAGAGAAAATGTCCTGTTACACTTAGCTCTCTCTTCTCCTTTGAAGCCAGAACTATTTTCCTCATTTGAAATGAATGGTTCCTTGAGCATCCATCTCCAACAGAACACCCGCCATTTCTTTGACTAGGGATCTGAAGTTCACATAAATATTTAATCAATCATGGAACTAATGTGAGAGGGCAGCAGATATTAATTTTGGAGCCACTGAAATCTCTTTCTAAAATAACGCCACACTTCTTTTCATCGAGCCACTTTCTGGCTGTATAACCTTAAGTAAATTAATAAAACTCTGGACCTCAATTTCCAAATAATAGTGCTTACCTCATGGGTTTTTGTGGGGATTAGAAGAGTTAATACATGTTAAAACCCCTAATAACTCCTCAGTAAATGTTAACCCTAGTTTTTATTAAGACTGCCTACTAAACACTTTGAGAGGGCTTGTAGTATATCACAAATACATCAGAATGTAACTTTTCACAATTGTGTTTAAATAATCAAAAAAGCAGTTTTATAATGAAAGATAAAATGATGGAGACTGGGAGACTACACATATAAAATCCTATGCCCACATGCAGTTTATAATCCAGCTGAAAAAATAAGTCTTAAGTACATAAACCATGAGTCATTTACTCATTTATCCATCTATCTAAAATTTACTAAGTACCTATTACAGTCCTTAGCATCAAGGAGCTTATAGCTTACTTCAAGTATACAGGAAATAACTATAAAGGAATATACAGAGGAAGGCCAGAGAGGATGATTATATACAATAATGTGTTACATAAGTAAGTCTTACACTAACTAGAATATTTGAAACAGCTGAAAAATTATGTTTACAACCAACACTCAAATTCAGCTACTCT